TGTGATATCAGTTGTAATTTACCTTTTTGTTTCTGATTTTACTTATTTGGGTCTTCTCTTCCTTAGGCTAGTTAACAGTTTGCCAATGTTATCTTTTCAAAAAATGAAATTTTGTCCATTGATCTTTTGTATATTTTTATTGTTTGTTTCAAGTTTGTTAATTTCTTCACTGATCTTTATTTAGCTTCCATTCTGCTAATGCTGGGATTAGTTCTTGTTTTTCTGGTTCTTCCATGTCGGTTATTAAGAAATTCATTTCACATCTTCCTAATTTTTTGATGAAGGCACTTATCACAATAAAGGTCTCTCTTAATATAGCTTTTGCTGTATCCCATAGGTAGTGGTATGTTGTGTTTTCATTTTCATTTGTTTCCAGAAATGTTTAAATTTCCATCTTGATTTCTTCCTTAACTTAGAAGACAACTGAGTACATGTTATTTAGTTCTCATGTAATTGTATGGCTTCTAATGTTCCTCTTGTTAATAATTTCTAGTTTTACTCCATTTTGGTCAGCAAAAATACTTAGTTTATATTTTCAAAAATTTTTTGGGTGTGTGTATGCATGTGTGTGCCTCCTAACATAATGTATATCCTGGAGGATGAAAAACGTGCTGGTAAGAAGGATGTGCATTCTGAAATTGTTGGATGGAATGTTCTGTAAATCCTAAATTCTGTTTGGTGCAGCTTAAGTTCAATGTTTCTTTGTTGATTTTTTGTCTAGTATCTGTCCAGTGTTGAGAATACAGTGTTAAAGTCTCCAACAATTGCCATATTGGAGTTTATCTGCCCCTTTAGCTCTCATAACAGTTGTTTTTATATATTTAGGTCTTCCCTTGTTGGGTACATATATATTAATAATTGTTATGTCTCCTTGCTGGATAGACCCCTTTATCATATAACACCTTCTTTGTCTCTTTCTACAGTTTTTTAAGTCTGTTTATCTGATACCAACATAGTAACTCCTCTTTACACTCATTTTTAGTGTCCGTTTGTGTCGAGTATCTTTTTCTATCCCTCACTTTCAGTCTATGTGTTTCTTTCCAGGTAAACTGAGTTACTTCTAGGTAGCACATAGTTGTATCTCTTTTTTCTCATTCAGCTAGTCTAGATCTTTTAAAGATGAGGAACTTAATCCATTTACGTTTAGGGCTATTATAGATAGCTTAGAACACACTTTTATTATATCATCTTGTTATATGTTGTCTGTTTTTTTGTTTGTTTCCTTTTTCCTCTTTTACTGTCTATTTGGTGTGTTCTTTCTTCCTTTTTAAATTAGTGATTGTTATTGTCCTTTTGCTTACAAGTGTAGGACTTCCTTAAGTATTTCTTGCATAGTTGGTCAAGTATTGGTCAATTCCCTCAGTTTCTGCTCATCTGGAACAATTTTATGTTTCCTTCTATTTTTGATTGGTTTGCTGGGCAGAATATTTTTATTTATGTATTTATTTGTTTATTATTATTGTTTTATACATTTAATTGCTATACATCATTTAGCTTGTAGAGAGAATTTACCCAACGTGAAATACACCTTAAACTAATCCAGTTGAGAACATTACACACATTATTATTAACAGGTAATAAACCATTTCCGTGTCCCACAAATGTCTTCCCTATTTTTTTCTTCCATACACTCTTCCTCTCTCCCGCCCTATTCCCACATTGTTTCCAGGATCCATAAATATTTTCAATGCTTTTATGCCCTCCAATCTTTCAATCTCTACCGTAGAGCGTGGAGAATTGGCATATGCTAAGTGGAGACATACAATGTCCCTCTTTCATAGCCTGACTTGCTTCACTCAGCAATGAATCTTCCATATTTGTCCACTTTCTTTCAAATGGCTGGGCAGAGTATTCTTGGTTGGCAGTTTTTCTTTTCTTTTTCTTTTAGGATTTAAAAGATATTGTCTCATGCTCATTGAGTCTGTGTATTTTCTGCTGAGAAAGTGACTTTAGTCTGATGGAAATTCCATTACATGTACTCTTTTACTTTACTCTAGCTATTTTTAAAATTCTTTGTCTTTGGGCCAGCAGTTGGCATAGTGGTTGGGGCACTGGACTCCCACATGGTTAATGGCAGTTCAAGTCCTGGATGAGGGTGCTCAAAACTCATGCAGGGAAACTCATGCAGGGTGTGTGTGTGTGCCCAAAATCCTGAAGGGAGAGGGGATTATGGTGTGGTCATCCTCCCTGGGAAGTGATTTCTTCCTTTCTCTCTGTTTCTCTGGAGAGTGCATGTACTTTACAGAAAAAAACAGAAAAAAAAAAACTCTCTTAAAAAAATAAAATTCTTTCTCTTTGACTTTTGACATCTTAATTGTAATATGACTTAGAGAGTACTTCTTTGGGTTGAATCCGTTTGGAGATCTTTGAGCTTCTTCTATCTGGATGTCTAGATATCTTTTCCAGTACTTGAGAAGTTTCAGCTATTTATTTACTAAATAAGTTTTGTACCTCTTTGTCTTTTTGCCTTCTGGATCTACCATGATGTGTGAATGTTTGTTCACTTAATAGTATCATATAAGTCCTGTGGGCTGTCTTCATTCTTTCATTCTTTTTTCATTTTTTCTTCTTCCGATTGGATGATCTTGCAAGATTTATATTCCATGTCTGAGAGGCTTGTTTGACCTAATCTGTTGAAGCTCCCCATTGTACTTTAAATATAATTTACTGAGTGTTTCAGTTTGAAAATTTCTCTGTGTGTGTTTTTAAAAAACAATTTCTATCTTTGTTGAATTTCTCATTCTGGGCTTGAGTTGTTTTCCTAATTTTGTTCAACTGTCTATTGGTATTTTCCTGAATCTTGCTTGGTTTCTTTAGAATAATTATTTGATTCTTTTCTAAGCATTTCAAGAATTTCCTTTGCTGTGGGATCTATTACTGGAGAATTATTGTTTTTCTTTGGAGATGTCAGGTTTCCTTGCTTGCTCATGTTTCTTGCGTCCCTACTTTAACGTCTGTGCATCTAGTAAGACAATCTCCTCTCCTGATTTCATGTCGTAGCTTTCTTAGTAGCAAATATTTTTCCAGAGGATGTGTCTCGTACTGTTGACTAGGTGGAGTATTTTGATTTGAGTTCTGAGTGGGTGCAACAGTAATTTCTCCTCTAGTGTTCATTGTCAGCAGTGTGTGAGCACCTCTGTATTCTCGACTTGAAATGTGGCAGCAGTGCTGAAGCTTTACTGGGAGTGGGAATCAGCATGTGTGCTGCTTCCCCATAGCAGTGGTGGGGGTCAGGGGTGCTGGCCAGCAATTTCTAGGGAGCCCGCTTGTCCCACCAGTGGAGATGGAGCAGTTACCTGGGATGGACAGGCTAAGAGTGCTGACCTGCATTGTCTGGGGGCCCCCTCACTGTGGTGGTAACCTCTGAGTGTGACTGGTGCTGGCCCAGAGCTGGGGGACAGCCAAGTCAGAATGGCTCCAGCAGGGGGAGGATATTGTGCACCTGAGCTGTGGCATGTGTACTGGGCTTAGCACCTGTCACAGAGGCCTGTAAGTTCTGAAGGGTTCCTACAGGGAGAAGGGGCCTGTGTGTTTAAGCTGCTGTGTGCACTGGATAGAGTTTGCGGGGCTCCCTCTGGGGACCCATTTGCTCGAGGTGGCATGTACTGGACTCAGCATTGTCAGTGGCAGGGACCTGCAGAATGCGGAGGGCTCCTGCAGAGGGAAGGGGCTCGTGTGCTTAAGCTGCAGTGTGTTCAGAGGCTTAACACCTGAGAGCTACAGCGTGGACTGGGCTGAGTACAAGTCAGCAGGATCCCAGCAGAACCTGGAGGGACTCACCAGTGGAAGAAGCCAAGCACTCCAGTTGTGGCAGGAGCCAGGCCCAGGACAAGTCAGAGGATGGGGTGGTGGGGAGAGGAGCAGAGCACAGCTACCATGGACCAGCGGCTGTGTTTGGGCTGCAACACGAGCCAGGCTCAGAGGGGGAGCACCTGTGTTTGTTCACCTGTGTCTTGTGGCAGTCCTCCCACTGCACTGGTCTACCCATGTTCTGAAGCATACGGCAGGCATGGATTTGGTGCTGGGGTCATGGCCCTGCTGCTCAGTCTGGCTGGAGAGGCAGCTGCCACTCATGTGGGCTAGGTGGGATTTCCGCGGGTTCTCAGGCATGTGAAGACATGCATGTTTTACTTGAGCCGTGGCTTTGTTCCCTGTGGCCCAGCTCTGCAGCCGCTGGGGTCATGAAAGTGAGGTCATCCAGGTGAGATCCGTCCCCAGGGACTTCC